GGGGGCCGGGGGAGGCGCCGCGCTCTTCCCACACGCCCCCGCGCAGCAGCTCTCAGGCTGGACGGCCAGCGTCCTTGGGGCCCCCTCCCTCATCCCTGGGCGTCCACTCTCCTGGGTGTCATCCCGAGAGGCCCCTGGGTGGGGAGAGCTGGACAGCCCGGGGGGCGCGCTATGACACTGCCTGCAGAGCGGGGGCGCACAGGGCTGACGGCTCCCCCAGGGCCCAGCACCCCTGGGCGGATTGAGCGGCCAGAGGGGCATCAGAGCTCCAGGAGGGCTGGGCCGGAGACCCAGGGCCTCGGGTGACCAGCATGAGTGGGGTGAGGGACAGCCCCGGGGTCCAGGCGTGCTGGGGCTCCCGTGGGTGTCCAAGGACCAGAGCCCTGCTCGAGAGACAGACAAGGTGCTTGGTGGATGTTCCTACCAGAGGGTCCCCGTCTCCAGGACTGGGGCAAGAGCATGGTCACCAGAGAGGGGACAGCGGCTGACTGGGGCCACAGGGACCCAGGCTGCGGTGTGAGGAGAAGGGAGGCTGGCTCAGCTCCCAGGGGAGGGCACACCATCCAGGATCCCGGGGTGCCACACCCTCCCCTCCCCCATCCCCCCAGAGGGCCTGCCCACAGTCTTCTCACCAGTCAAGTCACCCCCAGGCTCAGGTGTTTGAGCAAACAAAGCAAAACAAAAGAACCCACAGCGCCCGGCACTTTGGGAGGTCGAGGCAGGAGGATGGCCTGAGCCCAAGAGTTCGTTGGAGACAAGCCCGGGCAACATAGCAAAACCTTGTTGCTACAAAAAATTCAAAAATGAGCCCGGTGTGGTGGCACACGCCTATAGTTCCAGCTACAGGGAGGCTGAGGCAGAAGGATCACCCGAGCCCAGGAGACTGAGGCTGCAGCGAACGGCGATCATGCCACTGCACTCCAGCCCGGACGACAGTGAGACCCCAGCACCGCCACCCCCCATGATCCCCCACCCTGTGTGGGAGCGGCCACTTCTCCTGCCTTAAAGATGGCGTTTTCCCTCCCAGACGCTTGGGTGCAGGGTCAGGGCCTCTCCGGGGATCAGCCTAGGCGAGCTGGGGCCACCATCGTCCCAGGGACGACCCGTCCTCCCTGCTGCAGGGATAGAAAAGGAATTTCAGGCCGGACTAGCTGGCTCAGCCTGTAATCCCGCGCCTTTGGGAGGCTGAGGTGAGTGAATTGCCTGAGTCCGCGGGTT